AGAAACCCTTTCCTGATTGTGAGTGTTCCAGGTGCGCAGTGGTCAGAAGTAGCAAATGTCAGAGCAACTGATAGAAATATTTTTCCATGTATTTCAAAGAAATTCTGATTAGGAGTGGGAAAATTTTGAATTTTGACCCAATACTAAGTAATATTGAAGACTATAGGCAAGATCCATTACTTTACATTAATAAAAAGTTAACTGTATTTGAGGTAGCCTATTAATTATTAATTATACCTAGGAACATAACATAATACTTCTGATAATTACATTGGAGTCCACGTACATGTGCAAAATGTAATTCAGAAAGAAAAAACACCAAAACAGGGTCAGTGCAGAGGTGGCAGGGGAGTAGGTACAGATGCAGAGCAGCCAGGCCGTCACGCAGGGGATCCCACATTTTCCCAACACTCTCAGATGAAACTTGCTCAGTCCACTCCCATGCAGCACCTAGCTGGGCCTGGTAGACTTGTTATTGTGAGTGTCACTGTCCAGGCGTAATCCTCCCTCTTCAAAGCACCCAGCGCAGCTCTTCCCTCACTCTCCCTCTTTGTACACAGCCCGTCAAGAGAGCAGCGGCGGGTTGATAAGAGGAATCCGGCGCCCACAATAGGCTGAGTCTACTAGGTTGTAGCGCTTCATCATCCCCCCCAACGCTCCTTTTGATCTCGCCGTGGTACTGGAGATTCCCAGAGAGGGAATGGATCACTGGACGGCCTAAACATGTGGAATTGTTAAGAGAAACAGCTGGCTGGGCACAGAAACACACACACACACCCTGACACTGATATCATACACACACTCTCCAACGTCCATTTCTCATGCTCCTCTTAAACTCACTCACTTAGTCACACCACTGTATGTATACATTTGCCTTCATGTTGTCCGCCTTTGAAAATCAGTTGTCCAGAGTTGCAATAGCTTAGTTTTTTATAGATTTTTTTTTTTTATAGATGCAACACCAAGATATGCCATGTTTCATCACATTTATCTATAGACAGACACATAGCCGCTCAACAGCAGGACTGCAATGAAAAATACTTTGCCTTAGAATAGCTACACATAGACTACAAGGGTGGTCAATACAGATAAAATGCATTTGTTATATTCAACATATGCTGTCCTGTAGTAAATTAACTGGAAATCATTGTACCATTTACAGAGGAAATAAACATTTGTTTTTCGCTATTACAGAGAATTAGCTACATGATAAACCAACAAAGTTCATTACATTCCTTTTAGTTCATCACTTTGATGCAAAATAACCCCGTTAATTCAATTAAATTCGATTAATTGTCATAAGCAGTCCTACTGAATAACTTGCAACATTTATCCCAATCGACCAGAAATATTAGAGGTCCAGTGTGTAACATTTAGGAGAATCTATTGTCAGAAATGGAATATAATACTTATAGGTATGTTTTTATTAGTGTATAATCACCTGAAAATAAGAATTGTTGTGTTTTCGTTAACCTTAGACATAGCCATTCTTATCCACAGACGGGTGTGTCCTCTTCTATGGAGGCTGCCATGTTGAACTGCCATGTTTCTACAGTAGCCCAAAATGCAAACAAAGAGCTTGTCAGATCGTCTAACACCATCTTTTTTGTAACTTCCAAAAACAGACAGTCCCAAAACCCTCTCCCAGTACTCTGCAATTGACTGGGTGTGCGGAAGCAAAAATCTTTTAAACTCTGTTATTTAAATTTTCTTACAACTACATCTGTCACTTTTTGCATGTGTAGCCAAGCGCAACATTGTGATTGCCTTCTAGGAGAGACTGTGCCTTCTGTGCGCCGTAACCTCTATTTCGTACAATTTATTGTCCCCCCCCCCTTTAAGACTTCAAGTGTAGCCGTTTTCAACAGGTATAAACACTTTTGCCTTTAGACATGGTCAGCCAACATGTCATACAACCTAATTTGTTTGAAGCATACTAAGACCTTAAGAGCATATGTGATTCCTCAACCAAGCCAAGTTCATATCTCTAGAGAACCAATACTCATTTGTATTTGTTCCATCCATTTTATCTGTCTGGCTGGACAGACTCATTTCCACAGTTGAAGCGTGAGCAGCAGCAGAGCCCTCCGCTTGGTAGTTATGGCCATATTACACAAATCTGAGGGCCACATGTGTTGACACAGGCCTCCATCTGCTATGTCTGTATGGCGCAAGTGGAGCCAGAGATGAGCAGAGGTCTGTTTTGAATGTTCCTCTAAGATTAACCCGTCTTTCAGTGAGGATGATACCGGGACGGATCTCTCCTACTGATTGGATTTGAAGCCTGGAAGAGAGATGCCCTCAATCCCCCTCCCCTGTCTCTCTCATACGTGAGGGAGTATTTACAGTAACATGATCAGATGGTGTCAGGCACTATGAGCCTTTGAAGAAGGGCATTTGCACCAATCGGAACAGCAAGTATGAAGATGGGGGTTTTAATGTTACGCCATCTTTCCAGAAAGCATGCAAGGCTTTCACGAGCCCTCCAATGTTTGAACACGTTGCCATGGGCTGCACCCACAGATAAACTGCAGGCCTTTTTGACCGTAGCCTCTTGAGCAATGAAGAGTCAGCTATCTAAACTGTTGTCCGATCTGGGGTGCCATTAAAAACCACTTAGGGCTTTATAAGGGGGCGCAGAGCGCTTTGCAGAATTTCCTTTGGCGCAGATGGGATGAAAAAGTTTTTGGTTTCCCAGAAGAGGTCAGGAAAGGTAGCTCCCTTCATGTGTTTTATGGCTTTGAGTGCTATATTAGCATATTCTGTCTTTTAGTCTGGAGGCATTTAAAAGATGAAAGATAGAGCGTGTTCCCATACTTTTTATGGCCTCTCAGTATCACAAGTATGAGAGGATTTCAGTCTTCTCCCAAATAAATGCCTGCAAGGAGACAAATCATTACCAGGCCAGAAAATGTTAGAATTTGACCGTAAGGACAATGTCAAGAAAGTGATCCTGGAAGGTTTGGCTAGTCGGTTTTATTCTGTAATGTGCTTTGAGGGGTTATTCATCGAAGTAGGTTTCATCCACTTAATGTTCAGGTCAAGGTTCCTCAGCCCCCTGATCTCTACGAGACCTTGCTCATCCCAATCCCTTAAGAACATCACTGATCTTCATTTGCACTATCCGTGATGATACTACGCTTATCCTACAACTCTATTTAACAGCCAACAGAATCCTTTCTTAAGAAGACTTGATCAGTACAAAATGCAGACCTTTGGGCAGTTTTTTTTGTTTTGTTTCTTTTTTCAAATTTATATCAAATACTTCTTAAAGGTTCGTTACCTGAGAATAAGGACTTAGAGTATGTAACAGTGCTGTACTACTGTAGAAGATGCTTAAGCTAATTTATCTAATCTAATACTCAGTTGTTCAGTCAGTTGTTGCCTGAGTAACAATAAGAGTAATAATAATTTCACTCTTTCAACACTCTTCCTTTACATTCATCAACAGGAGGATGTTTCCTAGCTACAAGGTAAAAGTGACCGGTATGAACCCCAAAACCAAATACATCCTACTTATCGACATCGTCCCAGCTGATGACCACCGCTACAAGTTCTGTGATAACAAGTGGTAAGTTTGCAATTTCAAAGCTATAAATGAGTTTTGTTGAAGGTTCCCTGACAGCCTACTACTACAGCCTTACTTGGTCTGGTATGATCAGTAGGTTAGTTGATGTTATATTGCTGTGTGGCTGACATTACGAAGTCTGCTGACTTTACGAGTCTTCTCAACTTGTGCTGTGGTTACATTATGTTTTAGCTTGTCACAACTAAACAATTCAGTGGTTTTATCACAGAAACAAGCAGAAAACACACTCCAAGGAGACACTTGTGGTCACATTCCAACATTCTCAGTCAGGCTGACTCGGGAAATAAAGAGGACTTCAACGTGCCATTATCCTGTAATTCCCATCTTGGCTTCTGTTCTGTATAGTTAAATATTTTTCTTCAATGAGGAAGGCCCAATCTAGTAATACCCCTGCCATGTGGCTTCCCAGCTCCTATCTATAGGCAAGAACAATATGATATATGTATACTATACCATGTAAAACCGACCTGTGATCTATAAATCTCAAATTAACTTAAAAATGATGACGCCTTGCAATCAGCGATTTCCTCTGATATAATGCTAGCACAAGTCGCCAAGTGCTTGCTCATGGTGGTACTGTTGGGTCTCTGTAAATGTTATAAGGAGTTCGGTCTAGACCTGCTCTATTTGAAAAGTGTCCTGAGATAACTTCTGTTATGAATTGGCGCTATACAAATAAAATTGAATT